TAGTGGTTCTCTTTTGTTTTTGATCCACTGCAGAATATTTTTAAGACCATCTGCTATAAGAACCCAGGCCAGGAAACTCTCCTTCATGTTTTTCTGTGTTTTATCCTCAGTTACTTTGACATAGATGCGTCTGCTGTGATGCTTACACATTTTATAGATATAAAATTTTGGATATGTACTGATAAGAATCATAATCATAATATTTCTGACTGTCTAAGGCAAAATTTCCCAGATTCAAATCGAATTGAGTGGAATCAAAACAAATCGATTCTAGAAATCAGTAACGGTGGATTAAGACTTCAGAAGTCATTCGCCATGTCGACTGACAAGTGGGTAAACTTTTAGGTTGGTAATAAATGTATTACATGTATAAGAACAAGCATCATTTTAACAAATGATAGGCGTGCAGTAACTTTTATTCTTATTGTAGCTCAGGGGCAACTCTAGGATCAGAGCTTTGGGGGTGCTGAGCACCTAGAGAGCTGCCCAGCCAGGCAAGATAAACTTTACTTGTCACGATGAGACGTCTTCCCTGTCTCTGTCAGTCCCTGCATCCTTAAATGTCTCCAGTTGTCCCAAGTTCTCTATAACTGTCTCCTTGGTGCATTTAAACTCCTGTTCCTCCCTGTCCTCATCGTCTGTAGTCTTCGTCTCCGTTATCAGTCATCATAATTTTACCATCTCTGAGTAAGTCTGTAAATTCCTTTATTAAATCATAAGATTCTTAAATTCACCAAGTCTCTCTGTGCCTGGGTCCTCGTCACAAAACATGACATCACTGTTTTGTACATTTTATCACAATTTAATTTTTGAGAAAAAAAGCAAAACACTATTTTAAAAGTCAGTAACAAAACCATCAAATCAGTTAAAGGTTATTTAAATGCTGCAAACGAAGAATGGATTGAAATTTTAAAAAAAAATACATATCCTAACCTTAATTACTGGGGGAAAATGATGAATGATGATCATAGTGAGTAAGAAGTAAACAGTGCATTTTTGGGACAGAGATTCACTTTTAATGTGTATGTATAATACAATACAGATACATAAAAATACACTCCAAAAATAGAGTCCTTGAAATGTACAAATGTACAAATTATTGATAAATAAAATTATAAAAATGGAGGCAGCTTTGCCTAAGGTACAATGTATACAATGTATGAAAAGATCTTTACTGCAGGCTCTGCAGATTTTTTGTTTTATTTTAACCTATGTCGCCTCACCTTGAGGTTGGCAAATCTGTCTATCACTTTTTGTCATCAACTCTCTCAAGCAGTTTAACAGTTTGTTTTGCCTGTCACTATTCCCTGTCTGTTTTTTACCTGGTTCTTCCTGACCTTGTACTTTCTCCTCACGTCCCCCTCTTTCCTCTCTCCCTCTTCAGACTGACAATCATACACAAATAGATTGTATTCAATTAGATGTAAAAAATTACATTAATATGAAAAAACAAATACTATTAAGATCACTAATAAAAAAAAAGTCCTCTCTCAGTATACTTTCAACCAAAAGGCAAATAACCAAACCACATGAACATCTAATAAAAGATATAAATATTGAAACACTGATCCAACATCATTCATGATTGACTGATCATTTGATCTTACACTTTTACCTGAATGTTGCTCCTGGGTTTAATCTTAACACATGCACATATGACAAAATAACCAACTTCTCTCATTCCATTTCAAACAGGACAGTGGTAACAAGGCTACAGACAATTTTAAGTTTCAAATTTTAAATAGGCTATATAAATTTCAATGGGAGCAACAGGATGGTCAAATGTCGCTGATTTTACTACAGAGCAGGACGAATTGTAGGGTAGCCAACATCATCGGAAAGCACATTTCCAACACTGCAGGCTACCTGGTGTAATGTTTTTCAGCTAAAAAGAAACATGGTCTGACTCCTACCTAACTATATAAAGAGTAACTGAAGGTTAAATGCAGCTAATATGTCCTGTTTTAAGACAGGCACTTACACCTCCGCTGCGTCTCAGACACCATTGCTCTGGCAGCAACAGCACTAGAGCCAGAGCAGGGGAGAGCTGGAACAAACCATTTGGGGGTGGGGGGGTTATCTATACTTTTGTTGTTAAAATGTTATGTCTAAAACAAGTACTGAATGCCTTTTATATTTTTAGTAGTGTGTCACACAAAACGTAAATATTGTCAAAAAAGTAAGAAATCTTTGGGGGGGCTGAAGCACCCCCAACAATGGGCTAAAATCACCCCTGTTGTAGCTGTTAGCTAAAAATGCTAATTTAGTGTAATTTGCCCTGGATTCAGCTTTGACAAACAAATATGATCGACTATTTCCAGTAGAATTCCAAAATTGTCATATATATGACAACTTTGGAATTCTAAGAGTCCTGTATGCTTGCAGAGACCTCTACAGTAGGGAAACATGAGTATGAAAGTCCAAACCTTTGTATTTTAGCTTTATTTATGTCTTACACAGCATAACTTTAGCGAATAGTCTAATTCATTAGTGCAACATTACTGGATCACCTCAGCGAAGTAGCAGTCTGTGTTTACTGTAGATACTTCCCTCTTTACCATCGGCCATACACTTGTCTTACAATGAAGGTGAGCAACTACAACTACACTGTTGCAACACATTCTCACTTCTAACTCATCAAATGTGCAACGCATGGTCAGGCTCCCTCTGCTTCACTTATCGACGTGCCGGATACCCCCCTCACATCAAGAACTGACGTGCAGGGTCCTCTTATTGAATACTATAGAGCTCCCTAAACATTGTTTATTGATGACAAGAGATTGCAGCGGAAGAGCCTGTTGTCTGTATCAGGCACGCGCAGAGGGGGGAAGGCGCTTGTTCTTGTTTTTTTTATGAGATGTTTTGGTTTGTTAAGTTTGTTAAGCTGAGACCACGAGACTGCAAAAGCATGATTGTTGGGCTTCATTTGTGTACCCAACTGTAGCTTTAAGATGAGCAAGGAAATAAGAATGAGCTAATGTCACTCATGAGACTAGTGTCATTACAGTTTGGTAATGTAAACATAATATGGCCAATATTATATTTATCCATCCATTCGCTTCTACTTATCCCTGTCATGGGCGCGGGAGGTACTGGAGCCTATCCCAGCTGTCATAGAGTGAGATGCAGGGTACACCCTGGACAGGTCGTCAGTCTGTCGCAGACAGATTATAATAATATAATTTATTATTATATTAATTATAATTTATTACAGCAAAGAGCCTGAACTGTGTCAAATGCAGAGCTTCAGTAAAGATTCAACTTGTATTTATTTATATTTCTTATCACTTTATATCTTCACTCAAAGACAAGTATCTTTTACACTGTATTATACGAAAGAGACAGATATTGTTCTTTTAATATGTTGGCGTGACTAAATCTGTATGGATGCTTACAAATATGGGTAAAAAGAAAGTTTGCAGGCTGTGATAACTGTTTCTGATAAAATGAAGAATAGACTGACATATTAAATATTCCTTTATTGGGTGAGAAAATCAGACCATGTCATAACTGCTTTAAGTCATACAGAATAGATATCAGAGCCTTAAACAGGCTGACTTCTGCTAAATGGGTCAAAGTGGGCAGAAAGTCTACAAACACATAACATCCTTATAAAATATGATGTAACACTATAGATCAACTTACCTCAGAATATATAAAGCATATAAACAGTTACAGCAATATGATGCAACAAACACAGCAGTAAAAAAACTACTCAAAGCTTCATATAACTAAAAAAATTTGGACGTTTATTTTTAGGTCCATTCTGCTGCTGCACTGTCCACTTGTCTTCCACTATGGCATTGATTTCTTTGTCTGGCTCATTTTCACAGTTAACCAAACCAACAAAAAATGTGTCACTGTGTTTATTGATCATTTTTTCTTTTCCTCTTTACTTTTTGAGAAGCATTGCTTCTCAAAGTGGTTCCTTCCCGTGGCATGCTGAGCATGATCTACTATGGGCTGGACACTGTTTGGGCATGTGCTTCAGGCCACAGCGCTTCCAGTCCAACATCCTGCTGTCAGGTCGCAGCAGTGTGCGTTTCCCTCTCGGACTGGAAACAGCTCCCACAGTAGTGCTGTCATTGACGGCAGTGGCACCCATTTCACTGAAAGTCTTAACATGCTGTTGTGACAATTCACATGCTTGACAAATCTGTATAGCTCCTTCTAGCAAAAGGTCGGTTTCTCTCAGTAGCCATTCTCTGACTTTTCTGTCCACCACGCCAAAAGCAATTTGGTCACAGATCATCGAGTCACGGAGCGTAGCAAAGTTGCACGTTCGCGCTTTACGCTTCAGGTCAGTAAAAAATGACTTGCGTAACTGCTGTATCCTCAAGCGAAAAATTTATCTCTCGTATGTCTCATTCTTCTTAGGAGAGAAAAGGGCATGAAACTTTTCCATGACAACGTCAAACTTTATCACCTGGCTCATCGTATACATCTCTTACCAAACGCATTGTACGCTTGCACAGCTTGGGGCCCTGCTGCTGTAGCAGTAACGCCACATTTCTTGCAGAAAGATGGCGACGTTTCCCGTCAGCTTCAAACTCTCTGGTAGTTTGACCGAATCCATTATTGTCATCCACGATGCACCTCAGCTTAGATTTACTCCTAGTACCATGTTTTGTTTGTCTCCTTATTTATGAAGAATGAGTCTTGTTATGATGCTTTTATTAGTCACTCTTAGCTAGCAGGAAGCTAACAGCTTCTGATCATCACACATTGTAAGTTGTTTTAAATGACAATGAGTGTCTTTCAATGAAAGCTCTCTTTCAGTGGATTCATGCACAACACTGAACAGTTGTAACATGTACTCTCAGTCTGACACACAACAACAACACACTTTACTTATATCACACTTTTATTAGCAAAGTTACAAAGTGCTTCCCAGAAAGAAAATTGTAATATATAAAAAAATAAAGAAATAGTTAAAAACAAAAACAAACAGATCTACAGCACATTAAAGTTCATCAAAATTATTATCTAATGGGAGAGAAACAAGTGAAACACACTGAGCGATTTTTTCTAAAGGAAATATAAACTCAGCGTGTGAGGATCATTGCTTTGAATTCAAAATCTTCTCATTTTCATTCAAAGTGACTTCGAGTTTTTAAGAAACTTTAAAGAGAAAAAGAGAAAAACAGCTAAAGAGCTGTTGTTAAGATTTTAGAGCTGTGGCTGAATTTGGATTGACATCATTGTAGTCAGAGCTCTCCTCTGGGTCACCACGTTGCCCTGTTAAGGTGATCAAATGAAAGCATTTCAAAACAAACTCCCCCTATTTTGTCCACAAATGCATTTATTATCAGTGAGAATAATTACCAATGTATATTTTGCATTTCAAATCTCACATTTTGTGCACTCACTTGTCTTGTTAATGACTTTCAGCTGAATCACAGATGTGACGTTGGTGTAATCACCTTCTGCTGGACCTGAAATAAGAATCTTATTGACTTTCATGTTAAAAACAGTTAATGTATCATCATCCAGCTTCCACAAGCTCTGTATTAATGAAAGTGTAAACTTTATACCATTTTCAGTGTTTTCACATCTTCTGACTGTCTCATAGACACAACGATCACCTGCAGGTCAGAGAAAATCAGTCACCTCATGTCTGTGATACTAATTTAAACACAAATATTCTTGCAAATTACCTTTAAATTAAAATCTGCAGCAGATGTAATAAGTACGGTCTTGTTGCAAATCGCATCACAATATGTGAAAGTAGATTAAAAACTAACCATGAAGAAGAGAGGAGTACACTGGCTCCTGATCTTCATCCCGATTGAGCGTCTGCTCATTAGCGGCACCTTCATTAAATTATAAAATAAGACTTTTGCTTTTACATGAAGCTCATGATGCATTTGTGTCTTTGAATGATAAAGAGTTTGTAGTAAGTAAAGGGAAAGGTCTCACTGTTGGTTGTTGTGCAGCGATACAACAAGAGCAGGAGAATAATAATGAGAGAG